CCTGTTTAAGAGAAAGGAAATCAAGCATTTTGATTTTGCTCTTGTGAAAATGAGAAAATGATAGGTTATGGCATTTTGAATTTGTTTGTATTGAAATTATTCAATGCCACAATATTCAACAGTTTATGTTCATTAAATAATGTTTTCAAATAGAGGCATATTCATCAGTTCAAATTTGGTTCATCAAAAAGTAACTCTAGCATCCGTAGAGACAATACCATTGAGCATCTACAAAATGTATATAAAGTATATGAATAAATGTGAGCTAGTAGATAACCAAATAAATTTCACCAACATGCCTATATAAAGCATGTTTTTCACACAAAAATAGCCATCTTTAAGCAGATTTCTAAACCAAATGTTTTGAGTCGACTAATGGTGCATCAACTTCGCTAGCCAAGGTCTAAGTTTATTCGGCAAAGCCTCTAAACAGACCTTGGCAGAACGACCATCAAATATGCGTATTCTAACATATAAAGCATGTTTTTCACACAAAAATAGCCATCTTTAAGCAGATTTCTAAACCAAATGTTTTGAGTCGACTAATGGTGCATCAACTTCGCTAGCCAAGGTCTAAGTTTATTCGGCGAAGCCTCTAAACAGACCTTGGCAGAACGACCATCAAATATGCATATTCTAGCAGCGCCCCCCAGCAGTCAGTTGCAACTAATCATTGTCCGATCAGTTTGCGTGTTACAAATCCCTCTTTGGAGTTTCATTTTAAACAAAATGGCGGCGTCCATGAATCGTGATATTTGTGATGATAAAATTGCCAAAGTTTTCAGTATTGGTACCCTCAAGCCTTATCAGGTACAGGCAGTCGACGCAGTTTTGTGTGGGAAGGATGTCTTCATAGCGACAAAAACAGGAAGTGGAATTTTGTTTTATAATTTAGTACGTCCAAGATGATTGAGCGCCTTGTTTCGAGGCGTGCCCAATTACATCTCACTGCTGAAGATACGCAATTAGCCTATACGATCCCGCAGGGTACCGTGTAGAGGCCTATAGGTCGAAGACACTGGACCGTGCGATTCGAACGATGATGGTGCATGATCTACCAAATAATTTTCAAAAAATAAATGTGTGCAGGATTTGTACCGTGGACTGATTTTCACTATACCATCTCTAAATTTACACATGAAACAGATCTTTATTTACACATGAAACAGATCTTTAACAACCCAGCCACTCACCTTGAGGTAATTGTCTCAGCTGTCCTGGTGGCACAGCTAGCCTCGCACCTTGCTGTCCAATCTGCACAGTGATCGGTTGTGAAGTGACAAGCTGCGATCTAATACTCGAAGTAGCAGTTCCTGAAGACTGGACAACTAGTTTTCCAGGCTGTACCATAGTAGCAGGCACAGTGTAACCAGGTAACTGTTGTGGTTGTGTTGTTGTTATTGCTGCACTGACTGTACTCGCAGGTTGAGATACCTGCAGATCAGTTACTTGTACTTGTCCAATATTGGACATGCTGGTAGTGATTCCTTGAGGTATTGAAATGGCTTAAAAAAAAAGAAAAAAGATAACGCATTAAATCTAACAAAAGCAGGAGACAATTACATAATAGTCCCCAGAGAAGTTTTATGAATTTCACCAACTCACAAAGTTTGTAAGCCTCTCAACTGGAAGGCTGATTGCAAGTTTTGTAGAGAAGACAATCACTAAACCTACCTGGTGTTGATAACACAGCAATAGGTGGTGTTGCGGGTGACCTTGGTACCACCTGTACAGGTGCTGGTGAAGACCTTGGAACTGGTGATGCTCTCGCCTGACTCACAGGCGATGGGATGGGAACAAACGGGGATGTCCTCCCTTCTTTTGGGGAGGGCGAACATGTAAATAGTCTACCAGGTTTGATTTTCATCTTTGGCGGCCGGGGTGGTGGATCTGGCAATGAATCTATTTCTTCTATCAGGGGCCTGGGAGTTTGTAGTTTCCTTATTCGATGGGCTGCAAATGCTGGCAGTGTAAGTTCCAGGTCGGCGAGACAAAGATTGATTGATCTCAAATCAATATGCTATGGTAAAGAAACAAGCATGATAAGAACAATTGTTTTAGTTGATAATTTAGTACTAGTATATTCAAGCCTGATAAAATCAGTCTCAAATGATGAATGCTAGTTCAAGGCCCAATTATTTTTTTTACCTCTGATGCATCCTGAACATGTCATTGCAGTTGAATTTTATTCTTTTCCCCCCAATTTTAGCATTTGTGTTGTTTCTATTGCTAAAACAAAAAAGGGGTGGGTACCACTTGATATTCACATTGAGTGAAATGTATTAAGTGGTACACCCACCTTCAGCATGCGGTCATTTTGCTTTATCAGGTACATGGACATACTGATCACCAGACACAGATAACCCATGTCAACAGTGTGAAGTCGCATACTGCCGACTGTAAATATTTTTTTACTATTATACATGGTGCCTGAAGGTTGTCCAGAGCTTCCAAGTTAATATACAGTCTGATAACTATGGATTGTGGCTACAAAAAGTTCTTATGGCAAGCTCATGTGTGTATTTTCGGAATTATTATTTAGTCTTTGAAAAATCTTTTGAAATTAATAACAATCCTAGCGAATTGGAACA